AACTAATACACTATCAGAGTTTTATATATTTATACTTCTCATTCAACCACAGTTAAATTCACTCTATCTAGGAGGCTCAGTTTATATGGATAGTTTTTATTTTTACAACAACAAGCTGCAATGAAAACAAGCAGAAATGAAATAAAAGGAACAACTTTATACTTCTTGTCTTTTTTAAAAATGTAAGGAGTAGAAAGTACAGATAATTGTGTGAAAATGTAAAAAGTAGAAGTAAAAAGTAGGCTGTAAAATAATTACTCGAGTAAAGTACAGATACCCAAAAATTCTACTTAAGTAATGTAAAGAAGTATTTGTACTTAGTTACTTTACAACTGTGACGACAGCAGATGAAAGTTCAGTTTCTATCCCAACCTGTCAATGTTCTTAAAGATGTTGCTCTTGCTGTCTCGAACGGTGAGCTGGAAGGCGAGGGCAGCGTGGTGGCTTTCCAGCACGGCTGTGTCGTTGTAAAGGATGGCCAGTTCACTTCCTGCATTACACAGGAAGGAGTTTGTCCTGCCTGGGTGGTCCACATCATGGACTGTGGCAGCTATCAACGCTGCCATCTCATCCAGCTGGTCCAGACAGCTCTGAAAAAAAGCAGCAAAGACAAAATAAAGAAGTTACTGGACAGAGCCACAAATACAAGACCTGGTTTCAATAACCGTAAAATCATTCACATGATAAATGAGTCATAAATTAAACACTGTTTCCTGTTCAATTTATCTCCATCCATCCATCCATCCATCCATCCATCCATCCATCCATCCATCCATCCATCCATCCATCCATCCATCCATCCATCCATCCATCCATCCAGCCAGCCAGCCAGCCTAGGTTTTCACAGGGTCTCCCCCCAACAGGGGTGTCCATGGAGCATGGATACCTCATCCTTAAACCACCTGAAATAAGTCCTCTGGAGGATCAACAGCTCTACTCTGAGGCTCTCCTGGATAACTGAACTTATCAATCTATCTCCAAGGGAGAGTCCAGATACCCTGCAGAGAGAACTCAGCTCATCAGTATGATCTTGCTCTTTTGACCATTTTCCAGAGACTGTAAACGTTGTGTCTGTCTGTTAGTAAAATATCTCACAAACTCCCAGAGAGTAATAACTGAATGTACATCTACAGTACATTCACATTTACAGTCAACCCATTTCAAGATGGCCACCACAGTTCATCAACCATAGCAAACACAAAAATGTCTACAACTTTATCAAATCTGCAGATCCTGAGCTAAAATTTAATGTGGTAATAGTTAGTAATTAACAACACATTCTTCAAGCACTAACACACCTCATCAAATTTTATTTGGTATGGTTTGACCAAACTGACAATATTTATCTTTTTTCGCATCATAAAATATATTTATTTAAAACTCTGACATTATCAGCAGCGGGTGATATGCATTCCTTCAATACTAGGCCTTTATTTACACAATCTACTGTACTCATGTTTGATTAATATGCATTGCTCCTCTTTTAAAATTTAAATAAATAAACTTACAGTTGTTAAAGGTATGTACATAAAGACTATCCTCTGTGGGAAAGAATTCAGATATAAACACAAAAAAATACCTCAACACCTATTTTTGCCTATTAACATTAACACTGTGTCATGTAGTGTTGTAGTCAAGACCAAGACCACAGTGTCTCGAGACCAAGAGAAGACCAAGACTTTTAGGGTTTGGACTGAGTCAAGACCAAGACCAAGACTTTTAGGGTTTGGACTGAGTCGAGACCAAGACCAAGACTTTTAGGGTTTGGACCGAATCAAGATCAAGACCAAGACTTTTAGGGTTTGGACCGAGTCGAGACCAAGACCAAGACTTTTAGGGTTTGGACTGAGTCGAGACCAAGACCAAGACTTTTAGGGTTTGGACTGAGTCGAGACCAAGACCAAGACTTTTAGGGTTTGGGCCAAGTCGAGATCAAGACCAAGACTTTTAGGGTTTGGACCGAGTCGAGACCAAGACCAAGACTTTTAGGGTTTGGCCCGAGTCGAGATCAAGACCAAGACTTTTGGGGTTTGGACTGAGTCGAGACCAAGACCAAGACTTTTAGGGTTTGGACTGAGTCGAGACCAAGACCAAGGGAGGGTGAAATCAAGACAAGACCAAGACCAGATAAAAAAATGTTTCCTAAAAGATGGAGTATTCTGTACACATGTAGAGTGGGGGGGGGAGTATTTAGTCTCTCATAGTTGAGGTGTAACTATGATGTCAATTACAGGCCTCTCATCATTGTAGGCGGGAGAACTTGAACAATTGGTGCTGACTAAATACTTTTTTTACTCACTTTGGCTAACTTAATATGTAGAGCTAATATTGACAAAATCGTTGTGTGAGGGCAGAGGAAAGAATTTTTCTACAGAAGCAGATTGTTAATGTTAGTGACGATAAAAGTTTGATGTTGTCCCATCGTCTCTGAAAGTGAAACACCACCGAATTTACAAGTTGCTGTACATTTTCTCCTGGTTGTTTCTCACTTTCCGGGAGTGCTGCATGCGACTGAAGACAGTGGGGATGGGTGACAGCCGGTAACAAAAATACATAAATAGCAATGAGTCAGGTTTGGATTTGAATCAGCAGCTACATTTTAAATCCAATGAAAGCAAGAATGTTAACAAATAAATTTGACAATAATCTGGATATTTAGTGATATTTCCACAGTCTTGACTGGTCTTGAAATAATTCTGTGTCATGTTTTGGCTGCTCCATCTGTTTTCTGCTCTCCTGTCACTCATGCTCTGCTCACCTGTTCATGCCACGCCTCCTCATTCAGTGCCACAGCAAACAGCCTCATCCGCCTCACCTCTTCCCACCAGTATTTAAGCTCCTCAGCCACAGTCACTCACTGCCAGATGATTGAACGGTTCGCCCAGTAGATATCCAGCACTTTTTCCATGTCCATGTCTGATCCCTCGTTTTTGACCCACTGCCTTCCTCTCGACCTTTGCCTCCTGCCTGTTCCCTGCCTGATTCTGATGTTGACTCTGATCTCTGGCCTTCGACACCGTTTCTGTTTTCTGGACCCTGCTRCTTGGATTGTGATTTGGATCTGTTACTGGCTCTCTGACCACCCGGCTCTGACCTTGGACCGCTCTCTGGATCTCCTGACCCCTCTCACTCCTCCAACTGGATCCAAACCCTCTTGGACCAACATCTGTGGACTGACCCAGGCTTGTTCGTCTACAGTTGGAAGGTCAGTAGCCACTTCCTGTTTTTGCAAATCCTCTGTCTCATCAGTGTTCTGCTCTGCAGTGTTTGCCGCCCGGAGGGTCCAGAGGTTCCTCACTAAACAGTGAAATAATAAACCTTTTAAATCTGTTTTTGTCTTCAGTTGTTCTGAATCCTAAAAACCCTTCTGACATTCCGAGTCGTCAATGTCCGAGATTGAGACAAGACCGAGTAAATATGCTGTCGAGTCCGAGACAAGACCAAAACCATCAAAAACTGGTTTTGAGACCGGTCTTAAGACCAAGACCAATTTTAAGTACTACAACACTAGTGTCATGTTGCTAAGATTACCTTACATTTTCACCTAATACTGCTGTTTGTGTTATTTATGCCCATGGAAAGAATAAAAACCCAACACATTTATTCATAGCTGGAGAACTAAGTTTAGCTACCAAGACCCGACTCCTGAGGTCAGTTAGAAACAGAACCGGATTGGGAGTTGAAAGAATTTACCCAGAGAATCAATTACAGTTCCTAGAAACTGCTGTAACAAACAACATCTCCCACAGACATGGTTGTGTTGATCTCGAAAGCCTGCGAGATGAACATTTTTCTTAGAGCTCACTGTTTTCTGGGGTCATTCAGGAGGCTAATTAGAGCCAAGCCTGAGGGTAGAGGAAGATGGTAAAGTACACTGAGTCTCTGCTGAAGCTGGAATGTGAGTCTGCAGAGGGTCCACAATGTGCTCCAGGTCACAGGGACCATTATGCAAATAGCAGAAAGTCTTCCACTGAAGCAGCAGAAGCCTCTGTGAGGTGACTGCATGAAGAGACAACTGTCCTGAGCAGCTCCACCAAACCCCAAGTCTTAAACAGATCCACGATTAGTTGTAACATTACACTTTATTTGATAAACACATATTTTAACTGTAAAATAAAGACTCAAAAAATACTGTAGGCTGTTTAGTTTTGTAAATTTTTCAAAATATATGTGAGCCATCATATCAAAATGAGGATTAAGTTAAATTTGGTCAAAATGACCTAATTACATTTTCAGATTCTTGGCTTTAAAAGCTACATTTTGATACCTGGATCATCCTGATATCATAATTAAATCCATATATATGACTTAATTTGCCTTGCTGGTTACAATAATACATAAATATTTGGTCTGAATCCTAATTTTAGGTAAGTTTAATGAGGAATTTTTGATGTATTATAAAGAGGAAACCTCAAATTATATTTGAATATTGAGATTTCCCAGCAAAAAATGAACAAAACTTTGCAAACTCACAGGGAAAATCTAAAAAATTTTAAGGTATTTTTCCTCAAAATCAGTTTCTTTGTTGCTACTGCTCAAAAAAGTGCTGCAAAATTTAGTTTTATGATTACATTTCAGGCAGTTCATTCAAATGATACATTGATAAGGCTTTTATTCATTATGTTTTGAGAAAATGCAATTTTTGCAAATGTTTTAATCAAAACATTATATTTGCCTGTTTCTCCATATACCACTTTTGGACTTAATCATCGTTTTGATGTGATGGAGCCATTGTATTTGCACACAAAGCATTCTGGGTAAATGATGACGTGGATAGGTCCTCGGTGCGAGGCTGCTAGCGAGCTATATCCACCCTGAAGGTTAATCTT